TGGGGCATGAGACCAACTGTACAGGCGTCAGTATAGGTTCGCGCACGCAAAGCACGGTCTTGATTCCAGCTGACTTTTCACGAATGTGCCATTCGAGGAATCAGTGACTGGTACTCCTTATTCCAAACTTTGTTTTGTGCGCGAAGTGTTCCATTACGAGTCAGCCGCTAAATTTACTGAGAGAAAGAGTATGTATCGATGGGTCTACCATCAAGTCCTCTTGTATGAGGTGTTTTTAAGAGTAAATTAGATAGCGATACACTCAAACCCGTTATCAGGCAATTAGCTTTATGTTGACATATACTGATGAACTATACATTGCTATACAACAGCACCAACTTGGATGAGTTAATGAGTGTCTGTGACTCAACTCCTCTATAGAGCAGGAAACTGATGGGTGTTTTGGCTTTTTGGATGAATGTCTGAAGAATAAGGAGAAGTAACCATCTCTCTGCTGGTCATCATATAAATTTCACGAGCCCTTCACCATAAATTCAAAAAGAAATGTTCACAGGTTCCTCACTGAGTGATCAATGAAGATTAATTCTGATGGACCAACAAGAACTGAAGTTTCCGGAACAAGTACTCAGGGCAAATATTTTCCCGGTCATTTTCATGTGAAGAACAATGGATTCGCTCGACTAGTGAGTCTGTACCGGTGTAGCACATGAATTGGAAAAAGACACCGTGCTTATTTCCGGAAGACCAGGGTATGGTCTATTCATGGCTTCATATTTCAGTTCCTGTCCCAAAATATGACCGCAGCAGGACGATAAATTTCAAAACGCTGCCGACATCTTTTATGTGTGCTCATGCCCCGCGCACCCGTGTTCGTCTCACACTGAGGTGTTTTTCTGATGCATTGGGCGAACTTTGTTCGCTTAGTTGTGGAAACTACGGTCTCAGCTCAGGCGCTATCGGTTTGCACCTAAACGAAACCACTCACACGACAGGATTCAGATCAAGTAGTTCACATAAATCCATCACAGTCTGTGAGAATCCGGCTGCTGTCTGTAGCCCAGGCAACCGCAATCAGTCAAAACACTTGAGATTTGTGCATACAATGAGCTTGTGTTGGTCCTATTACAACCCCACTCAATGTGGTTCCGACGCTGACCCGATTCTGGGTAATGTCAGCATTTGACCTCCAAGCACCCTTTATAATATTTTGCTAGATCTTTTTCCTATATTTAATACAAACCGCGATATATCAGCCAGCCGACCAAACGCCATGATGCGTCTTTCAGCGAAGCAGCGTTTCAAAATGTTGAAGTCATCTAACAAGGCATCCATGAGAAGGCTAAACTACGAAAGAGAGGGCGTCTGGAACAAAGAGAACCTTGGGATAGCAAATACAACTGTAGCAGAACACATAAATGAGCACCTCCATTCTTTAAGCTGACGGGGAATGCAAAGAACTCTTTGTTCAATGGAGGTCTGGTGACGATGTTATCCTTCAATATGTTGAATATATCAAAAGCTCATGAGGTAATCAAGAGGATATGTTCCGAAAACCCGCGGCTACATCCAACTAACAAATAAAAGTGGCATCTGATGAGTCACGGAGTGCAGTGTTCCTCATACTGCATCGACTTCTGGCTGGAAGAATCAAATAATCGACAGAGTTTTGTGAGAAAGAGGAGCACAGCTGAAAGCCCAATTCAAAGCTAGGACATATTTCCTTCTATGCTTAAATCGGTATCCGCAGAAGCTGTCATGTTTGCAACCAAGTCCCTTGGTCCCACAGGATCTGGAACTTGAATGGTTAAATGATGACCCGATGCTTAAAGATTTTGATGGCTGTTGAGTCCTCCACCGGGATTTTATCGAGCACAACGAGCACTTGCATTGCAAAGCACGAGAAGCTGGAATTTATCGGGAATTTCCATCTTTCCTTGCACCTTCGCAAGCTACCGCAAACTATTTCCGCATAGAAAGGGTCTTTGGATTTGGGAGCCATGCCAACGAACTTTCAGGAAACGGATGGTTGTGTGAAGGAAAGGTCTACGTCGGATGCATGCTAGAGTCAACTCAATGGTGAAGTCTTACTATAGTGATTTGCATATGTCAATCTTGCAATGTGCACTGGCACGCGATGCATCGCCCTTATGGTGAGAAATCGCTCCACCGGTCAGTCAGAGGCGCAAGGAAGGGAGGCCTCCTGTCACCACCTTGTTTCCTCATGGTTATGGATATGACTCTGCCGTTTGCGATGTCTGAACTGGGTTTCACACTCAAGAACAGATTGTTTGTCTGAATTGAGCGGATGGCCTGTATTTGACTTCCTGATCAGAATTCCAATTAGAAGTAAAGATACAGGGACTAATTGATGGTTTAACACAAAAGGAATGACTGTCATGTGAGTTTGCTTTGGGCTTATATTTGTACTCTGTCAATGGAACTGGATGCACCAGGGAGAAGAAATCTCCTTGATTGCGTTAAAAAGTGGGCTAAGACCTTGAAAATGATAAGTTAGGCTGTAGGAGATACGTTAGTGAATGCGGCCGAAAGGCTGTATAATTTTGACTTTGAGAAATCGATTTTACCTAGTCATACGCATGAAAACACACTGAAGGTTTTGAACTGGCTCATTAGGAGCCGGATGGGGTAATGACTCAAACATCCATACGATACTAGCTTAGCTTTCTTCTAAGACAGCAATAACCACAAGGGTTTGGGGCTCTCCAGCCTTTACGTTCTCTTTTCCATCTACGATGATCGCGCTTGTTTGTCCTTTCGGCCAGCCTACTGTTTTTGGCAGTAAGAGATAAAACAACATAGGTGGTATTCTGAAGAGTGCTTTTGCAAGATGTAACCAGGCTGGCGACTCTTGGAGAAAAGCCCAAAGTTTCACGCCTCAGGAAAGCCTTAGGTAGTGTTCTGCTGAATGTCCTTGATTTTTCATTGATAAGACACATCGCCAGCGTCTGAGCAGAGTAACGGATGGTTGTACTAGAAATGTACTTCATCGGATATATTAAAAAAAACAGAGACTCATATGCTTTTCATACGTAGAAAACAAGTTTATTTGGAACTTTCTAGAAAAAGGGACCTTCAGCTCTCGTACATAAATAGAAATTTGTTGAATTCAACCAACAGACAGTTCAACCCAGGAGAGATCAGTCTGACCAGGCCTTCTGGGTGGTTCCTACTAAGCGAAAGACAGTGGGCTCAATTTAACCTGAAGAACGAAACGCAAACACAGAGGTGACGGCGTCGTCTGCAGAACATTCTTTTACTCAGAGTTTTCCCTTCGAAAATATCTTGAAGCTTTTCACTCAGTGGACCAGAAATTTCACGCAATACTATGTGCGCTTATTTCGCGATATGGACTTGAATTTGCAAGGAAAAGTATATTGATTCCGGATGTTAATGAGGGATTGGTTATTAATGTAGGTTGTCAACAGAAAATCAGGAAACCGCTTATAATTGGGCACATCATTCAAAAACTATGAATGGTCTCCAACACGCATGTTATTATTCTCTCTTGCGAAACTTATCTATATCTTGCCCGGTGGCAACACCTTTATAACACGCTTCATGAGATTCAGTTGAGTCTCTTGTGAAAAACCAAATTGATTTGCTAATGAGTGCATTTCGCGATAACAGTCCAATTTGGGTTCAAGTAGAACATAAGGTGGACGGAAACTCGGGGACTGCGCCTACCCGGTGAGCCCCAAGAAGGGAGAAACCGGTCGTGGGCTGTCGAAGAGATCTCAGCAACCTTGTGAGTAGTTTCCCTTATGAACATCAAACAGATGATGTTCAGTTAATCAGTACGTCCATACCGCAAACTTTCCTAGTGTTAATGGCAACAAGCACGTGAAATCGGTCACGCCGATGGTAATCCAATCCTTGAATCACAGTGCCTGATAGTTCACAATTGGTCCCTTCTTACTAAGAATATCAGGTGGTTGTGAAAGAGTTCCGGGGAGTTATTGGTTGGAACTTTTCAGTTGATTGAAGTGATTTCCGAAGAAATCGTAATTTAATCTAGACCTGGAGGAACTTCTCCGAAAAAAGTGGTTTTTGGTTCTAGAAGTACTCACTGTTAAGATTTGTCATCCTTGGTCTAGTCGGGTATGATATGTCACATGCCATAGAACCGCATTTCCAGCCTTGTTGGTCCGAGGGGTTGGTATCCTGTAAACCAAATGAGGGAATTTTGAAGGCTGTCAGAGTTGAAGATGTGAGTGGTAGAGATGACAGTAGAGCTCATTATTTACTGTCAGATCTGGTGACAATAAGCCTGTCGCCTGGTCTGTCCATAATGTTCGACTCCAGAAACAGTAGGATCTGGTGCGTCACATGTCTTGCCATGAACATCGGCAAGACACTTGTGCCATAGATCGGTTTATCCTGCCATAGGAACCACTTCAGTAAGGATTCAAGCATTACTTTATATGAGCTAACTGAAACTCAAGAGACCGATATCCATTAAGAATTTTAGTGATAAGTGGAGATTTGGCTCGAGCAATTCCCACATTACCTTCCGATGGTTAAGAAATATTTCAGGCTTTTCCAATACCAAAAAATCCCCTAAACCCATGGAGTTCCAAAAACGGCATTCTTTTCACTGATGGGAGCGATTCCACAGAGTAAATGTGAGGAAATTTACCACCCTGGATGCGACAGTCGTTCAGGTCACTCATCACTAAAATGTTTGTGCTGATATCAGCTGTTTGAATTTCCTTTTATTGATGGACCCATAGTTCAACTTCCAAATTCAGTTTGTCGCTTCACCCCATTTAGGATCCTCAGTCCTATTTGGCGCTATTGTGACCCAAATGAAAACCAGTGGGTAACGTGTTTGAGAGGGAGTGCTCCGCTGAATCGCTGCTGCTATCTGAAAACCAGCCAATGGCTGGAGTGGCATGGCAGCGTTCAACGTCAGCCAATCAGGACACTCGGCCTTCATAGCTTGCTTGTTGTGATTGGTGGACGTGTCACGATGGCCCTTTCACGTATAAAACACCGATGAAATGGGGTTCGGAGACAGCCACGAGCGTTGCACGCGTCGGGGGTTGTCTCTAGTCGGTTGTCGCCTTAGGACAATTGCCATTGTCATAGTAGTGCCCTGTGTCTCAGGGCCTAGTTTACTGGGAAGTATGTCAGTGCGTCCCGCATAGACCCTAACCGCAGAACTAGCTAAGTTTCAGTTCTTTCAAACGCGTGGATATTTTGTACCCACTGTGATCCCCCGATAAGCCTATTTTCGCTAAGCTGTGTGCACAATCAGCCTTCTCGAGCAAACTGTCCTATCCATGGAAATGACTGTGAGCCAACTAAAACCAAGTTCAAGTCCTTCAGACGATTCGGCAGTTGGTGACATGAATTCAAACGGAAATAGCACCGTCGACAGTACCAATGGCGAAGCCACATGCTCGGATAGCACGGTCAGTGCCGGGGAATGCTTGTCTGATACTTATACCAAGCTGTCACTAACAAAGCGACAGGCATCCTTAGGAATGGAAAATGGAGTGGACTCTAACGATCCGGGGTAAGTTGCAATTGGTTTTCGTTGATAGTGGCCTTGAATAAAACTTAGTATCATTTAGTCATATACAGGATTTAGCTTGCTAAACTCTTGGAAGCACACCGAGCTCTGGCACACTGGCTAATCACGTCACTCACCGGTTCCGCCGCCGGTCTCTTCCAGCGATTCGTCAAAGTTCGGATGGTCGCTCGTCTCTACCATTTGTAGCAAGTTTTACACGTAGCCTTTCTGACTACGGTAACCGACTGCATCCGACAACGAGCCCTGCTGGTAATCTGAATTAGGCTTCTACGATGTATCATAAGCTTTATTTCGTCACTTTGGTACAATTGCAACAGCTGGAAGCGGACGCCCGGGCGATACGTCATTTTGTACTGTTGATAACTTTTCCAGAGTGCTACCCGAAACCCCTTTTTTGTTCCCCTTCAGTTGTGAGTTAGCTTTGGGATCTCCGAAATCCAACAAAGGTCACTTTGGAAAAAATGGTCCTGCGGAATAAGTTAATCAGAATACTTATATTTTTAAGGTATCCCAGCGTTTCCCTTTTTCGGTGTATTGTGGCCCTCTGAGCTGTGGGAAGATGATTTTGTACCTCTCATTCTCCGGTTGTACCGATGGTCCTTGCTTCTCTACAGAGGTTAAGCTAGCATTTTCCACAGCTTTCCGAATAAGTGGTGCTTAAAAGCAGATTACTACAAACTGTTTGAATGGATTGTGCGTTCCAGCTGAGGTGTCGGTAACGCTTAAATCATGCGCCCGCGTGGGTAGGCCATAACCGGTGATTCAAATACTCTAGCTCTGCAACTCACGCTATCGGTTTTCCAGTAGAAGAAAGGTTTTCCGTACGTGGATAGCTTCACCTGAACTCCCGGCTTCCGAGGTCCGTTAAAAAACAAAACATGACAGTATATTTTGCGCTCATGCAGATGGAGGTTAAGTACTTACGGTCGTCGTTTACTTCCCGACGGCCTCCAGGTTAGCTATCAGCTCACCCATACAGCAGTAACTGTAATAACCATTCCAAGCACCTCACGTTTAACGCAAAATGCGCAGATACCATACTGTCGTTTTATTCTTGATCATTCGATGCCCTTTATTCCTGTGGCATTTACTCCGAAGCAGTTTTACTTCATGGTTTTGCCTGGTATCCGTTCGCTTCCAGAAAGTAGGTGACGAAACGAACTCGGATTAAATGAGGTTTGTTCAGCCCTGGTGATAAGCTTTGCAGTAACCTGAGGCCGATAATCTGCTCCACCTCTTGTTTTGTTCTCCTATCCTTCATCCAGTTGATAATCGCAGGTTGGGGCAACCCGAACATTCCTCACCCCCCTAAATTCTGATATAATCTATTCTAAAGCAGCAAATACCTCAGGTCCTGGGCGTTTTGTTTGCGTATCAAATATCGCCATATCAATTGGTTTACAACACTAGATCCTCTCACTGCCGATCTGTGAGAACAGGAGCCTCTATCCAGTACGACCCTGTCATGTCCAAAAACTGGGACAGACACGTTCGTTCATCCTCCCCGCCCCCCTAATTGGTTCCCATCAAGGCCAACTGGAGCCGAAACCTTTACGACCCAGGTTCCCGTTGGACCTATCGCCACTTCAATCAGTTGTAACACTAATCACTCCCCCTCTGGTGCTGCCCTGATCTCAATATGTTGCTCACATAGTCGTGTAAGCACCCCCTCTTAAAATCCCGCAGCCCGCAACTCTGTTGTCGGACTTTTCATACAACTGTACCTAGAGGTGGAACTTTTGTTTCATTTTAAAAGCTAGTACACAACCTACTGATTTTTCCTCTGGAGAGCAATCCTTGTGTAGGAAGCATCTTGACGCGATCCCTGGCAGTCACTCGTACTGTGCCGAGTAAAGTTTGACTTATCCGTCCACTTTAGGGCAACAGCGATTCATTTGAGTACTTGTGTGGTCGTCTAGATATGAATCTGCCCTCATGGCAGCTTAATTGGTTTCTCTATGTGGGGTATGACCCCATGGGTTCGAAAAAGATTCATCATCAACATTGACAAACTGAACTATGAACACCGTAATTTCGCACTTCTATCCACGGTACATGCCACATAATGATGCATCAGGTGACGACTCCAAGTCTCCCTTGCTGTTGGGCTGAATTGTTAGTCGAAAAGCATATTTTTAATGCATGATATTATTCTGACTGCGTTGTCCACACCATCTCCGAGCCGATTTGTGGTGTGAAGATGAGCTAGGACTAGCGAAATACACTCATTTGCAAATCAATTTGCTTTTGCGGGAGATTCACCTAAAACTCAGCTGAATCTTTCGTCTAAGATGTTTTATTAAGCGGCCATGGGCTGTCGAAGAATTTTCAGCAACCTTACGCGTGATGTATTATTTCTATTATTAAAGCTCTTCACCGACCATCTGTCACTCTCCAGTATGTGGTGGCTACCGTGACCACACGAAACCGGTCTAGACAATGGTCGAAAATGAATCATGCTCTGGCCGCACAGTACAAGTGTGATCGACCCGCTTACCGTATTCTGTCACGCGAAAACTTGCTCATAGCCGAAAACGGAAACGTTGGGGAACCGGGGCGAAAGACTGAAGATTGATTGGAACTATCTTGTGGTTGTCAGGATTAATGAACTTCGTATGAAGACGCGTGTGCATTTCACGTTCAGTTCTTTGGCTGATTATTATTCCCCTAGAGTCAAATACTGGACACGGAAAGCCTATTTCGACATACCACAGCGCACCGTCCTCAAAAAGAACAGAGATATCGAATATTCAGTAACGAGAGTCTGTCCTAACACACCATACAAGATTCGCTTACGCAACTGTGGGTAGTCTTTAGGAGAAAATTATCTTGTCACATGAAGTTTCGTAGGGCTCCATGAAGTAAGCAGGATTAGAGTGCACAAACTCCTCTCTTCCTCACCACCCAGATCCTACAAGACTCATTGGGAAAATATTTGTGACGAAGCTATCAATCCGATCTCAATGAATGACCAATAATGTAGGATTCGGTTGGAGTTCAAATATCCACACAAGTGGATTTTATCAAAAGGACTAATGTAGCATTGTTGCATGGATTGAAAAATGCGTTAACAATCCGCCTTGGTGATTATGCGGTTTGAAGATGGAACATAACAGCACCGTACTGCGTGGTATCACTGAGTTATTTTGCTCTCATCAGGCGCGTACTACAGGTTACAACTATAAATAAATTACAAATACTGGCTTTTCAGTTTACCGCCGTAGTATAAACAAAATGAAAAGCTCTTTCTGCTTTCATATATTCAGCCTTCAGTTGCGAGCAGGAATGGACTCAGTGAATTTCAGAGCACTACCATATAGTGTGGTGAACACGATTCAGTTTCAGTTGCTGGATTGATCCGATGCTTAGTTCCATTTAGGCGACGAGACTGGCAGTGTGAGCTACGGTCCCGTTTGGGTTTGATGTTGAGTCGGTGATTTTCATTGGTCCAGCTGTCTTCGTATTATCCCTCACCCTCAGCCGTTCTGTTGCAACCAAGTTAGCGGCCATGCACCCCATAGAGAATCAGTGGATAATGTTGGAGTTGGCGGCGGTGGCAATGAAACTTCTAGTTATGGCGCTAATACACGGCTAATCTTGTGAGCAAACGACTGGCCCGGCTGTGTAGTTGGTTCTCTGCATCACAGTTGTCAGACAACGTTGTATGATCTCTCTGAGACCAGGTGTCACATCGACCCAGCGATTACATTTGACGTTCTGTTCAGCACAGCAAGTAGGAGAGCTGTGAAGTATGCTGAGACCATTGCTATTCACAAACGGAGGTAGTAGTTTTCCGATTGATTGACCCTAAGGTGGAAAACTGCAGAGCAAACCTCCAACGTGATACCTTCCCGTCTAATTTATTCATAACTGTGGTATGTGGCACCCGCCTCATAAGACACGACAAAGTAGAGCCGGAACGTCGTGCAAAACTGTGTTGTTTTCCTTCTTCATATTCATCATGGAAAAGGATACTTTCCGTTTCTTAAGAGGTGCCTTCAGATCTAGTGTGATGATTGCTTCCGCCACGGCGAGGTCTCAACAATCTCCTTTCCATCACAGTATAACGTGTAAAAACAACGAAGGGAAATATCTTGCCACATAACTGTTGTTTAGTGCACTGATTACCCATCCGAAGGTCTGTTACTTATTCTACTTTCATTCCCGTAGCCTATAAGCCTTTAGTAATAATAATAATCATTCACATGTAACAGGTTTTTGGTGCGTAGCTTCTGAAGAAAGCATGAGGACTCTGATAATATCAGGTTTTAACCAGGTTTTAACCGCGAACCCTACGATCAATAAGTTCGCGCATTAACCACAGCTTTCTCGATCTCCATCATACCAACCGAGATAATTCTCGGCAGACATAATCCCATTAATCTTGGCTATTGATGCGCTCAAATCATTCCCAAAAGAGGTGCACGCTACTTTGTCTTGCTCCAGTTAAATGACAGCGACGGTGATAATCTACTGATATTGCCCATCTTGAAAGAAGCTTATCTCTACCCGAATCAGGACTACCTTCTCTCCCACAAAACCTTTTGGCTTTTAGACACTCAGCATTCGAAGTGTAGGGCGGATGCGCGCGCTGCTTCGAATCATTCCGTAATGGTTCGACCACATGTGCATTTTGCCTTTGTGTCACGTCCCTGTTTCATCGAAATCCTTCAATAGGAGCTAACCACACTTATGTTTAGGCGTGTAACAAGATAAAATTAGTCTTATTTTATAAGTCACTCTGGCTGATATATAGATGCTGAGTTGCCATTGCAAGCTGTCTTCATTTGTCGTTCGTTTTGAACCTGTCTTCGCAAGAATTGTCGCGATAGGTTCTACTTTCGGTTTACTTTGCTTCCGACACACCTTTTCTCTTCGCCTGTTCCTATTAGTTGTTCGTTTTACCCGGTCGTCACTTATCTTGGTGTACCTTACTCTTCTCAATAATCAACGTGTGTTCATTATCACAAGATTGGTCTGCG